AACTCGCTCAGCTTTTGTTTATCTGGAAATATGATTAGTTCTCCTTCTTTTCTTTTTTTTTTTTTGAGACCGAGTCTTGCTTTGTCGCCCAGGTTGGAGTGCAGTGGCACAACCTCAGCTTGCTACAATCTCTTCCTCCTGGTTCAAGTGATTCTCATGCCTGCCTCAGCCTCCAAAGTAGCTGAGATTACAGTTGTGCACCACCATGCCCAGTTAATTTTTTTTTTTTTTTTTGTGTGTGTCTATATATATATATATATATATATATATATTTTTTTTTTTTTTTTTTTTTTTTTTTTTTTTTAGTATAGATGGGGTTTCACCATTTTGGCCCAGCTGGTCTCGAACTCCTGACCTCAGGTAATCCTCTCGTCTTGGCCTCTCAAAGTGTTGGGATTACAGGCATGAGCCACTGCACCCTACCACTCCTTTATTTTTGAAGGATAGTTACAGTTTTACTGGTGATAGTATCCAATACCTTGGTTGGCAACACCCCTCCACCCACCCCTGCCCACTCCTTTCAGCACTTTGAATGTATTATTTCACTCCCTACTTGCTGGCAAGGTTTCTGCGGAGAAATCTAGTCATACTTTTACAGGGGCTCCCATAATCGTCCCATGATTCTTAACTAATGTGTTTATCAAGGAACTTGAACTCTAGAGGAGGGAATAGAAAACATTGAGTCTTAGGAAGCCAGATCTTGAAGTAGTCAGTTATAGGATACTCACCAGCTTCTTTTATATTTAAGGTAAAATCTGAGCATCCATTCTATTTTCTGCCCCTGAAAGGTAGAAGATTCAAGATCAGGAGGATCAAAAGCTGGTAATGACATCTTAAGTAAATACATATTCCTAAGGAAATAATTATTTAATCAGTAATAATAAAAAATTAGCCCATCCTTTGTGCAAAAAATATTTTCACAGATTTCTATCTATATCTGTGTTTTCCTGGTGAAAGAGTCTCTGTTTTATTTTTTCCACTTAATTGGGAACTTAATTTGGGCCTTTAATGTCTCGAGAACTGCATTAAGTCTGAAAGATTATTTACTTTAAACATTTCCTACTTTGTTTATTTCTGAACTGGCCAGAGTAAAAGGCACACCCTTACATACTGTTTTTTAGGGCCAAGTCTCATAAAGGAACTGTGTACTGTTAGACATAAATACAGTGCTTTATTTCTCTCCTGACAGTATAATTACAACATTTGTTTAAAAGTCTCACAACTAAATACACTGTTTTATAAAACGTCACTGAATATACTCATTGCCCTTCTAAGAACTAAGAATCTGTCAGTGTGTCTTGGTTGAAATCTTTTAGGAGGTATTAATGCATTGAGATCAGTGTAAGCCAATTTAAGACAATCTTTTGTTTTTAATTAAAATGGGAACCGAAAAGTCAGTTCAAAAATTTGTCTTCTTTCATTTGCCCAAGGTGAGGGTGATAGAATTTCTCTTCCAGTCAACTCTCTGCACTTGGTAAAACATCATACATTTTGGTTGTCTGTTGTGAGATGGTAGTTATTACGTGCACAGCTTCATATACGGTTGTGGTGTATTGTGGTCAGGGTCATTAGTGAATTAATGTTCAACTGTTAATGTCTTGGTGGTAGAGTTTAGAGGATATTTTTTCCTTTTCGAAATTGAATTAAAATAGATGTCGTCTAAGTTTAGAAGGAACAGGCTTTTTAAGAATAGAACGGATAGAGAAAATTAGCAAATACAATGGGCCCTTGTATCAGCTGGCTTTTCATCTGTGGATTCAACCAACTGCAGGCAGAACATATTTGGGGAAGAAAATAAAAACAACAATTTAACAATAAATATAATATGAATAAACAATATAGTATAACAGCTATTTACATAGATAGCATTTACATTGTTTTAGTCATTATAAGTAGTATAGAAATGATTTAAAGTATATGGAAGGATGTGCATAGGCTATATACAAATACTATGCCATTTTATATAAGATGCTTGAGCATCTGGATTTTTTTATCCATGGGATGAGATGTGTGCATCTGTGTGCCTGATCGTCCTGGAACCAATTGCTGTAGATACTGAGGAATGACTGCTGGACAACAAACTTTTGAAATGTAGCACATGGCAAATAAAATTTTTTGGCATTACAATTTGTGCTATCAAGTTAAGTGCTTTGCTTATAGTAGATATTTACCAAATAATTTTGAAATGAATTTCAAAAAACCATTAAAACATAATTTATATCTCATACAGTTCATTTGAAGTGTACAATTCAGTGGTGGCTTTTATTATATTTACAGTTTTGTAAACATTACTACAATCAATTTGGGAACATTACCCCAAAAAGAAACCCCATGCCCATAAGATATCACTGCCTGTTCCTCCCTCCCTGACCACCCCCTGCCTCTTACTTCGCCTATCCTAGACAACCACAAATCTATTTTCTATCTCTACAGATTTGCCTATTCTGGGCATTCTACTTATATAAATGAGATTATACAACATGTGGCCTTTTGTGACTTTTTATTTTTCTTTTAGCATAATGTTTTCAAGGTTCATCCATGTTGTAGCATGTGTCAATACTTCACTTATTTTTATGGCTGAGTAACACTCCGTTGTATGGTTATACTTCATTTGCTTATTCATTCATCAGTTGATGGGCATTGGGTTGTTTCCACTTTTTGGCCATTGTAAATAGTGCTGCTCTGAAAATTCATTTATAAGAGTTTGTGCGGACATGTGTGTTTTCTCTTAAGTAGATAACTAGGAATAGAATTGCTAAATCATATGGGAATTCTGTGTTTAACCATTTAAGAAATTGACAGAATGTTTTCTAAAGGGACTGAACTACATTACCACTAACAGTGTACAAGGGTTCCAGTTTCTTCACACAGTAGTCAACACTTGTTACTGTCCATCTTTTCATAACTTTTGCATCATGTGTGAGGTGGTATCTCATGGTTTTGATTTGCATTCCAGCATGTCTAATGAAATTGAGCATATTTTCCTGTATTGGCCATTTGTTTATCTTTGGAGAAAAGATGTATTCAGATCCTTTGCCTATTTTAAAACCTTTTTTTTTTGTTGTTGTTGTTAAATTATTGGGTTTTAAGAGTTCTTTATATATTCTAGGTACAAATCCCTTATTAGCTATATGGTTTGCAAAGATTCTTTCCCATTCCATGCATTGTCCTTTCACTTTATTTATGGTGTCCTTTGATAGGCAAGCATTTTTACGTTGATGAAATTCATTTTTCCTTTTGTGGCTTGTGCTTTTGGTGTCATATCTAAGACAGTTTTGTCTACCCAATGTCACAAAGACATAATCCTATATTTTCTTTTGAGATGGCTTCTTGCTCTGTCACCCAGGCTGGAATGCAGTAGTGTGATCTCTGCTCATGGCAACTTCCACCTCCCAGGTTCAAGCAATTCTTCTGCTTTAGCCTTCCGAGTAGCTGGGACTACAGGCACATGCCACCACTCCTTGCTAATTTTTGTATTTTTAGTAGAGACAGTGTTTCACCGTATTGGACAGGTTGGTCTTAAACTCCTGACCTTGTGATCCTCCTGCCTCCGCCTCCCAAAGTGCTGAGATTACAGGCATGAGCCACTGCACCCAGCCAATCCTATATTTTCTTCAAGAATTTTATAGTTTTAGCTCTTAACATTTAGATCTAAAATCCATTTTGAGTTAATTTTTACATGTTGTATGAGAAAGGGACCCAACTCGATTCTTTCACATGTGGATATCCAGGTGTTGAATTCCAGCACTGTTCCTCCAAGAGATACTTCTTTCCTCATTGTTTTTTTCTGGGCATCCTTATCAAAAACCAATTGATTATAAATGTAAGTACTCATTTCTGGACTCCTGAATTCTATTTCATTGATATGTCTTTCTAATTTTATGCCAGTACCATACTGTTGTGATTACAGTAGCTCGGGTGGTAAATTTGGAAGTGAGAAGTTTGGGTCCTCAAACTTTGTTTTTCTTTTTCAGGATTATTTTGGATATTTAGCTTTCCTTGCTTTTACACATGCATTTATAATCAGCCTCTCAATTTTTGCAAAGCAGCAAGCTGGAATTTTGATAAATATTATATTTAATTTCAAGATTAATTTGAGAAATAGTTATGTCTTAACAAATATTATGTCTTCTGATTCATGAATGTATTGCTTTTTTTCATTTTGTGTTAAGCATACAGATTGAAATGAGGACTTGGAGGGAAATTTTTGTCCATTGGCTCCTTTATAGTACACTGACTTGACTTATTATTGGGGTAACCTAAATGAATATTTAATTATGTGAAATTTTATCATTTACATATCTTAAGTGTTGGCTATTCATTAGAACTTTAAACTTCTTGAAGCAGGATATATCTTTTTGTTTTTTTTGAGACAGAGTCTTGCTCTGTTATTTAGGCTGGAGTGCAGTGGTGCAATAATGGCTCAAGCAATGTTGACCTCCTGGTGTCAAGTGATCCTCCCACCTTACCCTCCTAAGTAGCTGGGGCTTCAGGTGTACAGTACTGTGCCCAGCTAATTGTAAAATTTCTTGTAGAGACAGTGTCTTCCTGTGTTGCCCAGGCTGGTCTTGAACTCCTGGACTGAAGCAGTGCTCCTGCCTTGGACTCCCAAAGTGCTGAGATTACAAGTGTGAGCCACCATGCCTGGCAAGGCAGGATGTATCTTAGCTACTATTGTATTTATCAGAAATTATGTGATAGTTGTTCAAGACAAACACTTCTTGATTGGTGTTCGGCAGCTAATTATAAAAATGGTAGAATACTAGTGATAGTAGAAATTATCATTAGCAAGTGATAGCTAACTGATACATTGTAAGTCTTCCAATTTATTCATATTCATATTACTCCTCTGGAAAAAAGAGGTAAATATTCCGTTATATATTGCTTTTTGGTAAAAAGGCATAATTTATATATATATATATATATTTTTTTCCTACTTTTCTTTTTTTACTTCAATTTTCTGTCGAACATAATTAATATATTTAAAAAATTCATTTTAGGTGCCAAATCTGATTCCAGTTTTGATGTTCAAATTAGGAAGACCACTGGAACCTATATTATATAATGATATATTGTATACTTTACCTAAGCTTGGTGTTCACAAGGTGAGTATGTTAATTAATTTAGTTGGGGGGGGAGTGCATCATGAAAAATACATTGAATTCTTTTTGGTATGATGAAATTTTGAGCCCCAAATTTTGCCATAATCACAATTTTTCTTGTTGAGCCAGGGGGTAATATCTAAAGACAAAAGTATTTATTACGGTATTTAAGAATTAATTCTTTTAAGTTACTTAATATCGAAGTTTTTACTTAGGCTATTCCTGAGATTAGGTCCTTATGTCCCCAGTATTGCTATCTAACCCTCCAACACTATTTTTCATCCTCTAAGAAGGTGGGTAATATTGAAGCAAGTTATCTTCTCAGTCTTCATTTTATAACAAGGGGTTTAAAAATGCTTTTGGTAACCTCGAGGTTGTCTGCATTTACGTTCATGCAGCTAGCATTTCTTCAATATTTTCTAGGTGTGTGTAGGACAGATTCTACGAGTAATACAACTGCTTGGAACCACCCCACGACTAAGAGCTGTCACTTTGCGCTTGCTGACATCTTTGTGGGAAAAGCAGGTAATTTCAGATACACACTTTAATGAGTATTAAATATATTCCTTTCACTGAAGGAAAATAATGATGTCATATATGGCAGTGCTCTTGTTTAGTGGTATTAATGAGTGGCATCAATGATTGCATTGAAAAATTTTTGATTTATTGTGATGCATTTGTAATAGTTGTGATTGACTTTCAGAGACATTGAGAATATAAAATTTTATTTTTTTATTTCTGAAATTTATCTTACGATTTGTTTGAGAAAGTAATGGAAATATAGTTATAAGTGCTTAGAGCCTTTGTAATTAGGGTGAGATTTAGCCACTTTCTTCTTGTTTTATGAAATCAACAGTACTTTGGTCTATAAGAAAATCCCCAGTAATCACAACAGCTGACTTCTCTGCTGATTAGAAGAACTACATTATAATTTGCAATGCAAATGGAGGGTTTGGAGGTGAAATGGCACATAAAAGAAAGTAATGATTATTCAACTCAAATTGGGAAATTACCTTTTTTGTAAAATTGCCTTTGTAGGACCGAGTCTATCCTGAACTGCAGCGTTCCATGGCCATGTCTGATATACCTTCTCTTTCGGTGGGCAAGGAAGTCCAATGGGAGAAATTGATTGCAAAAGCAGCCTCAATCAGAGATATATGTAAGCAGAGGTATGATGTCATTAACTCTTGGGAATGGATATCATAATATATTATTTTTTATTTATTTTTAATTGCAAGCAAGAGGCCAGAAAAGATAGGCAGAAGATATATGTATACTAATAATTTTTCAACTTAAATTTTCTGATTATAAAATTTAATAATATTGAACAATAGCTTTGAGAAGTATGTCTTTCCTTTTTGGGTCTAGTCTTATATCTAGGTTTGTAGGATATTTATATCCTTTTCTTAATAATTTAATGTTGCAGTAAAATGTGATGTTTTCCATTTTTCTGTATATGAATCCCTGAAAACTAAGCAGTAGACTGTAGTCATAAACTGTTCTTTCTTATAGTCTACCATTGTTTAGGGAGATAAGTAGTTTTAATAGGGAGACTTTATTTGTGACTTACTGCCTGGAAGTATTTGTAATTATAACAAGGAAGGAAATGATGATGAATGTTCATGTATGCTGTAAGCTTTAAGGAAACCATGAAGAAATTTGGAAGATGACCCTGCTGTTCTAGATTATGGGTTAATAAATAGGGTGGAGGTGACAAGACTGAAAACACAAGTCAAGCTCTTCCATATCAATTTTTTTTTCTTGCATGGGGTAAGACAAAAATGTTTATAGAGGAAATAGACTTGATACATTTGAAATAGTTGTAGTCCTGCAGTTTCTTTTGTTGATTAGGCCACTGTATTAAATTCTTGGTGGCATTATTCACATTTTTGATACTGACAGCAATGTGATTGCTACTTTTGGAAGTTCTATAGTGGATTGACCTAGATGTTGATAACATGGATGATTCCAGTTTCAAGTAAAGATTGGATCAGAATATATAGAAGCTAAGCCCTAGCAATTTTCCTCTTTTCTAAGTGGCCATCTTTTAGCAAAAACAAAAATGACCTTGGTGTCAAAGTTACCGAAAAAAAAAAAAAAAAAAAAAAAAAAAAAGTTACATGTGTATAACCCAAGAATAGGGAGTTTGAATTTTATTGAGCTATTGGCATGGAAAAAATTTCAGAGATGAAAGTTACTGGCTGACATTCTTATTTTTATATAGTTAAAGCTGAGGCTCAGGATAGACTGAATATCAGACTAGTTCGGAGTCTACTGTTAACTTATTCAGTGTTCTTTAGGGTTCCTGCCTCCAGATCTGTGGGACACTGAATAGAATTCTGACAGGCAATTACATCAGTTTACATTTTGTTAACTAAAGAAAAGTATTGTTGAAAAGTAATAAGGAATTCAAGGAATAGACTTGCATAGCTATGAAATTAATGGTATTCTGGGGGCAGCACAATATATGTGGATTAGAAAGGAGAGGAAGGGGAGGAGAATGAGTGAATGAATTTAGCACAGTGCCTGGGATGAGATAGGAGCTCAGTTACAGTTATTATAATTTTTATCAATATCATTATTGTGATAGGTGTAACCCCGCAGTCACTATTGCTACTACCACAAATCATCTTCTTTTCTCAAATTCCTGCTTTTTTAATGAGTATCTGATACCATCAGGCAAGAATAGCTCTATCTTTATTGATAATCTCAATTAGGTAAGTTAGTTATTTTTACCGTTATTATAGCCTTGAGTTTTTCTCAATTTAGACAATAGGATTTGTGATTTAGGCTGAATGAAATTTGTTAAAAAGTGTCTTTTTGGGATATTTCTATATAAAAATGAGCAGAAAATTATAGCAGAAAATGATCATGATGCACATTTTTGAAGAAATACAAGACATGGTGTTAGTATTTGAGGCTTACTATTTAGTGGCACAAAGATATAGAAAATGATGGATGCTTTTTGTTTAGGTAGAAAACCTGGGAGTGATAATTGCTCTTCACTGTTAATTTTGCTTTTAAACTTTCATTTCTTTTAGGCCATATCAGCATGGTGCAGATATGTTAGCAGCTATTTCTCAGGTGTTGAATGAATGCACCAAGCCTGATCAAGCTACTCCAGCAGCATTGGTATTACAGGGTCTTCATGCACTCTGTCAAGCTGAGGTAGGCATTTTTAAATTGCTTTGAGTAATTTTGAAGAAAATCTTTAAAAGGGCAGAGTCGGTACAAGAATGTAAGATGAGATTCAAATAACTGAAAGTCTAAGTATTTATTCCCAGAGATTTTTTTTTTTTCCCCTGGAAAAGTGAAGCAAGTCTTACTTTACAGTTCTTTCTAGAAGGGAATCTTGAAACATCCAGTCATGTAGGCATTCTCTAGAGATGAAAGAAAACCAGACTTCAGGTTTTTATTTGTTCTTACTTTTTTTTTTTTAATGACAAAAGGGAAAGTTATACCTATCGGAGAACTCTAGAATATATTTGCCTCTTAATTTTGTGATTAGAGAGCTTTAGAAGCAGGTGAGGTAAAGAAATTTTTGTGGGCCAGTGACACTTTTATAGCTAACAAAAATTATTTTTTGCTAAAAGATTGAGAAAGAATCATTCATTTCTAGTGATTGGATTGAATAGGGTGGGTAAATGAAAAATTGCATGGTGGTATGCACCTGTCATCTCAGCACTTGAAAGGCTGAGGTAGGAAGATTGAGGCTGCAGTGAGCCATGATTGCACCACTGCATTCCAGCCTGGATGACAGAGGAAGACCCTGTCTGAAACAAACAAAAAAAAAAGGCAGATTTTAGCTACTATGGTCACAAAAACGGTAACTGTGTAAGGTGATATATTAGTTTGCTCCACTATCATAGCCATTTTACTAACTCTATGTATTCCATGACATTATGTTGTAAATCTCAAATATAAGCAGTAGAATATATATATTTAGAAATTGATGGACATTGGGATTGTTTCTATTTTTGGCTATTTTGAATATTGCTGCTATGAACATTTGTGTACAAGTGTTTGCAGGGATACATATTTTCATTTTGGGAGGCAAATCTCTAGAATTGGGATTGGTGGGTCATATGGTAACTATATTTAACCATTTGAGGAACTGCCAGACTATTTTCAAAAGTGGCTGTGCCATTTTACATTTGTACCAGCAGTGTAGGAAGATTCAAATTTCTCCATATCCTCACCAACACTTTCTTTTTTAAAGAAAGTAATTTTATTTATTTTTTACAATTTTGGTTTTTATTTTAAGTTCTGGGGTACATGTGCATGATGTGCAGGTATGTTACATAGGTAAACGTTTGCCATGGTGGTTTGCTGCGCCTATCAAACCATCACCTAAGTATTAAGCCCAAAATGCAGTAGCTATTTTTTTTAATGCTCTCCCTCTCCCCACCCCATCCCTTGACAGTTCCCAGGGTGTGTAGTTCCCCTCCCTGTGTCCATGTGTTCTCATTGTTCAGCTCCCACTTATAATTGAGAACATGCTGTGTTTGGTTTTCTGTGCCTGTGTTAGTTTGCTGAGGATAATGTCTTCCAGCTCCATCCATGTCCCTGCAAAAGACATGATCTCATTCCTTTTGATGGTTGCATAGTATTCCAGTGTATATATACTACATTTTCTTTATCTGGTCTATCATTGATGATGGGCATTTGGGGTTGATTCTATTTGTTTGCTATTGTGAATACGTGCGCATGTGTCTTTGTAATAGAAAGATTTATATTCCTCTGGGTATATACTTAGTAATGAAATTGCTGGGTCATATGGTATTTCTGGTTCTAGATCTTTGATGAATTGCCACACCGTCTTCCACAATGGTTGGACTAATTTACATTTCCACCAACAGCGTAAAAGTGTTTCTGTTTCTGCACAACTTGACCAGCATCTGTCTTTTTAATAATTGCCATTCTGACTGGTGTGAGATGGTATATCATCGTGGTTTTGATGTGCATTTCTCTAATGATCAGTAATGTTAATACAAAAACTTGTTATTACCTTTTTTTTTTAAACTATGGTCATCCTAATGAGTGTGAAGTGATATCCCATGTAGTTTTCATTTGCATTTCCCCAGTGATTAATAATATTGAGCCTCTTTTCCTATTTTTGGCCACTTCTGTTACCTTTTCAGAGAAATGGCTATTAAGATCTTTTGAATATTTTCTTCTTTATTGCTTTTAACTTCCCTGATTAGCCAGGTTACATTTCATTTCTATAGGAATGAGTAAAAGAATTCTCTCCTGATTCCTCTAAGTAAAGGATACTAGAAAACATGAGCTTAGTTTGTGTGCTTTTCACTGCAGAGGGAGCTTATCAAACCATAGGAGAGATCAGATGAACATTATGCTCTTCTTTCCTACTTGGTTCACATACAACACTGTTCCTTGTTTTTATATGAAATTAGCACACTGCTTTCAGCTGGAAAACTGATAGAGATGATTTGATAATATTTATAGCAGCAGTAGTATCTCTTGATTTACTGAGTACTTTCTATGATGTTAACATTATATACTACAGTCATATTTATTATTTAATTCTTGCAATTGGAAAATCCAGTTGCAACAGGCACTGCTTTCTTCTGAGAGGTTGACAGAAGTCGAATAACTGCCCAAGTTTATACAACTAAAACTTAGTAGTCAAGACTCAAACCCAGGTCTATCTTACTACTGTTTTTATTAAGCTAAAATTCACTTGCTGTCATTATGTGTTTTTGGTGGTTGTGTTTGTGTTCAGTTGACCTTGTCATGTGCTATTCAGGAAATATTTTTTTGAGAATAATATCTGGGCTTTTGTTCTATCCTTCTCCATTTCCTTTGTGATTGGTTAATGTGTAAGGATTATTAAGGCTTTGCCTAAAGATGTTAATGAAAAAGATGTTTTGAGCTAAAGTATATTAATTTTTAGTGTTTTACTGATTGCATATTACATTTTACATTTTAAAGGTGTGTTGAAGTGTTTTTATCCCATTTCCCAAGATGTTAGGTTTTTAAAGCATCACATTTACTTTTGGTAATGAAAAAAATATCACTCATTATTCTCTCACAAAGCTGTTTTCATTGTATTTTCTTTACACATTATTTCACAGAGTTTCTGTGTTCTCTAATTTACATTTTGCTAGAAAGATTTTCTTAGGTAGTGACATATTTTAATGGCTTTCATTGAATGAAAATATAAGTAATCAAATGATTCATTTTGATTGAATGTTTAAGTTGCTTCCCATTTTTCTCTCTTATTTATCTATTTATTGAGATGGGGTCTTGCTCTGACACCCAAGCTGGAGTGCGGTGGTGTGGTCATCGTCCCCAGCAGCCTCTATCTCTGGGTGCAAGGGATCCTCCCACCTAAGACTCCCGAGTAGCTGGGACTACAGGTGCATGCCACCATATCTGGCTAACTTATTTTTTGTAGAGACAGGGTCTCAGTACTTTGATCAGGCTGGTTGTCTTAAACTCCTTGGCTCAAGCAGTCCTCTCACCTTGGTCTCCCAAAGCGTTGAGATTATAGCCATGATAATCTCATGCCTGGCCTATGAGTACTTCTAAAGGATGTTTTTGAAATTGATCTTACTGACTAGGGATCTTATTTAAAGCTTTAAAACAATTATTCTTTGCTTTTTTTGGATACCTTTTTCTTTTAAAAGAGGATGAAGTTGTTGTTGTGTTGTTCTAGAGGTATGTGAGTTTATGGTTGTAAGTATACGAGGGATCCTCTTTATATCATAATCTTGTAAAGATTACTGTCTATTCCAGAAGATGTTCAGATAGAAGGACTGACAGCCTTTCAGCAGTGTTCAGCCCAGTTTTCATTTATTCATTCTTTGGTAAGCAGAGATGGTGAGGAGAGCAAGGGAAAACAAGTTGGCCCAGCTTTCCCTTCAAGCCCTGTCTGTTGCAACAACAAACATGAGGTAAAGATTTCTGTGGGTAGGACACAAAGTGTGTTAATCTTAAAATAAAAATATTAAAAACTTGAACCAGGCTGTGCAAGGATCGCTGCATTTAAAGATTTATGAGACATTTTTGACCTTCTAGGAGCTCACAGTGTGGTAGAGGAGACATGGTGTTAAGTATACTACCTGTATTTAAAATTTAGAAATCATTCAGAGGAGAGATAGAAGACATATCAACAGAACATTTCAGAACTCGAGCAGCATCCTCAGGTAGCAGAGGGAGAGATTAGGAACTAGAGGGAAGAGGCTCAATAACTCACCTATACGTTTCTTTTTTTAATATATTCTGTGATATTGAGATATAATTCACAAATATACAATTCACCTATCTATAGTGCATAATTTAGTGACTTTTTGAATAGAGTTTTGAAAACCTTACCAAAATCAATTTTAGAACACTTTTCATTACCTCAAAAAGAAACCCACATCCCTTAAGGATTGAACCGTAATCCTCCTATACCTCCCAGCCTTAGGGAACTATTAATCTACTTTCTGTCTGCATAGATACACCTATTCTGGACACTTTGTATGGAGTCATACAATATATTGCCTTTTATGTTTAGCTTTTCAAGTGGCATAATGTTGTCAAGGTTCGTTCTTGTGGCTACATGTATTAATACTTTTTATGGTGCCTTTTTAGGGTTGAGTAATATTGTATTATATGGCTGTATCAGTTGACAAACATTTGGCTTCTTTCCATTTTTTTGGCTATTATGAACAATGGTGCTATGAGCCTTCATGTACAAGCTTTTGTGTAGGCATACGTTTCATCCTTTTTTGGTATATATCTAAGAGTGGAATTGCTGGATCATACATTAATTCTCTGTTTAACTGTTTTGAGTCATGCCAGACTGTTTTCCAAAGTAGCAGTACGTTTTATGTTCTCTCCAACATAACGCTTTTCTTCCGTTCTCCTGAAATAAGGCAGATCCTCCTGGGTAGGCATTGCCACTGAAGCTTTATTATCTGTTGACTTCATTCATTTTTTTTCATTTTTCATTTTTGTGGGTATATAGGAGGTGTATATATTTATGAGGGTATGTGAAATGTTTTGATACAGCCATGCAACATGAAATAAGTACATCATGGAGGATGGGGTATCCATCCCCTCAAGCATTTATCCTTTGAGTTACAATCTAATTACACTCTTTAAGTTACTTTAAAATGTACACTTGAGTTATTATTGACGATATTCACTCAATTGTGCTA